TCTTTAAGATGCTCTTTATGTAACTTAATTTAACAGTTGATACATGAATACTGTACACAATATTACAACACACTAATATACATATTTATGTTATATATTACTGGCCATTTTCAGGCAATGACAAGTTTTAGAGATATATATATATATATATAATTATATAACTGCTACTATAGCTCTCAATTATCTTCACTTTTAGCTCAATAAACAGTACTTTATATAACACCAGAAAAAGTAGTCATATGAGATAATATAGTTACAAAATATATAGTTAAAGGAGGAATACAAAAAATAACTATTTTGTCTCAGTCTCACTTGATCCTGATTAAAAATTTTTAGGGAAAAAGCTTTTTCTTTTTTGCCAACTTTTATAATTTCCGTTTGCGAGCTAGTCTCAATTTCTTTTTCAGCAGCTTTTATACAATCCATTGATACTTTTTTATTTTCTTCTTTATTTTCTGCAATGTTTATTTATTTATTTATTTTTTAGATTCTCGCTCCTCCTTTTCTATCTCTAGCTCTTCTTTGTACAGTTTATGAGCATTCCTTAAATTTTTACAGAGAGTTTTGCGTACTGGAGAATGCAAGTGGTTATCCGTATGTCCGACAGATGGCGCCAGCACCGATCGCTGAAATTATTGAAGTCAGCTCTCGTTTGATGGTTGCTTGCAGATGCTTTTCAAAATTCATGATGTAACCCCTCCAAATTGATTCTGTCCCTTATTCGACAACAAAACTACTAAATTAAGTCCTTCAGTGTTTTTACCTTTTTTCACTGTGGAAGGCAGTTACTCTTTTTGTTAAATTAACATTTTGGCACTAAATTTACCTCTTTGCGGAACCCACTTTTTGGTGATAAAGATAATTCTTTGACGATGTGGGGATAAAGGCTACATGCCTAAGAGCCCCGTAATAGAACCCTTTCTTGGTCCTTTGATTCGATATTCGTACGCATCTAGTTCCGCCTTTCCACATAAGCCCCACCTACTTTGGCTTGATGTGGAACAATGTATTTCGCGATCTCGGCTCAGGCAAACTCGAAAAGTTCGCAACAAGCAGTGCCTGCGTTTGATCGCTAACCCGGCGTAATATTATATGATGGCATGATGTAAAGTTTTTTTTACAAAGAAAAGAGGAAGAGAGAGAGATTGCCGGTTGCGATTTCTCAACGGCTCTGCATCGATCTCAGAAACAGCCCGGGTGACGTTCAAAAAAGTTTTCCGCAAAAACGCGGAAAACTTTCATGCCTGGCTAACTCTACAAGCTAGCACATTTATTCCATTCATTTGCTGTCTAGTATCTGATTTGTTGTATCTGTGCTAATCTTATTTTCTGTGCCATTTTATTTTTTTATCCAAAAGATGAGTGGGAAGAGAAATTCATATATGGCAAATTTCAAGTTACACATGATCAAGTTTGCTGAAAATTCTAGCAATGCTATGGCTGCTCGGTATTCTTCTGTAAAGGAAAATAAGTTTTAAACCTGAAGCAAGCTGGGTGCATATTTCAACAATACATCTTTCGTTTTGGCTATGATGCAATAAATCAACATTAAAAATGATTTTGAAAAATTAGAAAAAGTCATTTTCATAAAACAAATGACTCATTTCATTTAAAATTAATTCTTTTCATAAAGTTAAAAAATATAAGCTAAAGAATTTTTTTATTTCTTTAGCTTATATTTCTTAACTTACACTTTTTAGAGCAATAATTAATAATTTATCACTTGTACCTGGGCATATGGAACAATACCTATGTTTTTTGCGAGCTCAGCAGATCCATATATAAGCTGACCCTTGTAATTTAGCTTTAGAAAAGCTACAAGGCTTATACGTGAAAACATACTCCAATATACTGTATTTATAATTTTAGACTAGAAATTTTGTCCATTGATTTGTCTTTTCAACCATGAATTCCAGTTTTTATACAGTCAACTATCCAGAATTTGGCATATCCAGAGCTTTCCGGAGTGGAGCTCTTACTGTATATAAGCCAGTACATATTTCCTTTAAGATTATTTTATTTTATTTATTTATTTATTTTTTATCATTTGTGAGATAAAGTGGTTGGAAAAGAAACTTACACAAATACAGCACTCTAAATCTCAAACCAATGAGAAATTTGAATGGTTTTGAATTTTGTCAAAAATAACAAAGTGTGACATTTGGACTTTCAGCAATATTAGATTTATTGACTTCAAACATTGACAGTCATAGAATATAAATGAGGTATATATTGAAATTCAAAATAGAGTGAATTTTTAGTTCTTAACAGGTATCTGTTGTATATCTGTTAATAGTGTATCTTTTGCCAAGGCAGCAACTCTTTTTTGAACTATCAAAAACCACAGTATGTCTGCTTATGTTGAAAAGTGAAAACATTTCTTTAAATCCATTTAACTGTAGAGAGCTTTAGAGGCACATGGTCCAGACTGTTTCATGCCCAGAGTGAAGAATGAAGGTGACTTCATAAGGAATTGAACCACAGGAAGTCTCTGGATACACTGATTGTTCTTGATGTTACAGACTAAAGACTATCACTGCTACAGACTAATGACAGAACAAAACCACCTAGTTGTTAAAACTTTCTATCCTAAAGAATGTGCTATGTATAAGGAGGACAATGGACTAGTTCATACTACAAAGTGAATTGGAGTGGCTTGAAGAATATGAAAAGAGCTTGAACATCTGCATTTTGTACGCTATCCTGATCTCTATACTAGTGAACCTCTTTGGGATATGTTCGAAGACAGAGTTGTAAAATGTTTCCCTTCTCCCTCATTACTCATTATGATATAGAATAACCACTGTTTTGCAAGGGATGGTTAAAAGTACTTTCCATGATTTAACATAACTTTTACTTTTATTTCCAAGAAGAACTACTGCAAAAAAGACTTCCAGACGAGGCTATGTGCCATATTAATATAATATTAAACATTAGATGCAAAAGTTTCAATTTCATTAACCAACTTCTATACTTTGCTGAAATGAATTAAAATAAGGGGTAATCTATATTTTTGGATACCTCTTGTTTTATTGCCAAGTTGTTGCTTCATTTATGGTAACCTGAGTATTTTACGGTGTATGTTTTGGAAACCCTATTATGACATGATTGGTTTAATGCACAATGATGCTGATTTTGATTGCTGGAAGAACATTGCTTATTTTGTGCTTTATACCATAAAATGGCTGCCGAAGATAAACTGGGTGTTTGGTGGTATCGAACGAGGGAGCAGAAAGTGTTTCTTAAGTGGTTGAGGAGAGAAGAGAAACTTTGTTGGATGTAATTCAACAGAATATCTTACCTGGAACAACAATCACATCCGATTGCTGGAAGTCGTAAGACTGTCTTTCTGATAATAACTTCATTCATCTCTCAGGGAAATTGCACAGTGACATTTAAGGATCTGGAAACCAGACCTCATATCAGCACTATCGAAGGAATGTGGAATACAGTCAAAAGTCGTTAATCCGGACTTGTCGGGACTTCGGCGATTCCGAATTATCGATTTTTCCGGATTATAGATCATCAGTTTAAATCTCGTAAGATGGCATGCAGAAATTCTAAAATTAAAAATATGAAACCGCAATTTATGCAATAAAGAACAATTATGATCTAAAGGGTATCAAAATTTACAAAAAAAAAAAAAAAAAGCTTAATATTTATTTGTTTACTTTATTAAACATTTCTTTCAAGGTAAGTTGTTTAAGTTGCTTCATTTTATGTGATAATACTTTCTCTTTAATTCTATAAACAGACATAATTTCTTGTTCACTTACAAAGTTCCGCTGTTCAAGTCCCGTTAATTGCTGCGCCGAGAATACCGACTAACTTGTCAATCGAAATTTTTTTTCGTTTTCAATAACCTCTCTGTCACATTCTTCATGTCTTTATCCATTTTTTGCAGCAATTCCACTTTTTGTTTGTTGGACATCGAAACATACTTTCGTTTTGTAGATCCTTTGGAAGTTCCAGCATCGGAAATTCTATTTGACATAATCGAAAGTTCAAGTTTACTTTTATAAAATTGCTCTTACAGTCTGCAAAAAATAATAAGCGGGATCCAATTCGAAGATTAACGAACAACGCAATCATTAACATTAACTGAAATAGATAATTAGATAATTTTAGCTTACACCGTCCGTTATACATTAAACGCGCACGCGAAAACGTATTCTGCGCTTGCGCACACGCAAATGCGCAGTCGTAAGAGGTCTTACGCGCATGCGTAAAACGCCTGTGCGCATGTGCAAACGCCGTGCATGCGCAGAAAGTTTTTAGCTTTGAGGTCCGGATTATGGGTGTCCGAATTAACGACTTTTGACTGTATAATAAAAAGGAATTTTTGAAAAAAATGCCACCGACAGTCCAGTACTACGAAGAATATTTTTGATTCTTTCATGAATTTTTGTGGCGACACCAATGTTCAGATAATTTTAAATAGTTTTTGGATACTGATGCATCAAAATATTTCCTTTTTGTTCTGTGCAGATTAGGTAACATGTATTTCCATTTTTATATTAGTTCCCTGTTTTATTTTGATTTAAAATGCAGTTTATTGAGATTGTAATTTCTGTATGTTTTAATTATGTTTTACTGCATTATGTTTCAGATGCCATTTTACTTGGGAAGGCGTTGCACATAAGCATGAATGGAGGCCAAAAAAATCACCAATTTTCACCAAGGGGGACCCTGAAATATACTTTTCCCAAAATAAGAATCACTAATTAACAGACTGAAAAATATAAGAGATAAATAAGATTTGTTGGTTATTTTTGTATAATTTAAATAACTGCATCTTCCAATACCTATTTGCTTTCAAAAAAGCCTCCAGATAAATTTAAGTACTGTACGCAAATCAAAATTATATTTGAATTCTAGTTGACAGCTGAAAATAGCAATCTGTTCACTACATAAATACAAAAAGATGATTAGAAACAAAATACATATGAATAAAAATGCTAAACAGATTTAGTTTTAGAAATAGAATCTGCAATACTTACTTCATCAGCAGAGGCAAGAAGTTTCCCATCAGTTAAGCTAGAAATGAATAAAATAATTTTCAGTACTATTATTTTGAAAAGTGATAAAAAAGATAAAGAAAGATCATAATATCTTATTACCTTTTACTATTCTTTCCTTTCTTCTTAGCTCTTTTGTTGTTTGGTCTACCTAAAATATTTGTAATTATTATATAGTTAAGTGGATTAAACAAAATTGAAACTATGAACATAAGCTCATTATTGGAAAAGGAACAAATATAAAGATTTTATTCATTGAATTGTAAACTATAAATTACACATCTAAAGAATATTTGCTTGCTGTTTTCAGAGTATATAAATAGTGCAATTTCTTTTTTCTTTTTTTTTTCTTGGGGGTGGGATGGGAGTCTGCTTTTTAAATTATATATATATATATATATGCATACCTTGATCAATAAAATCCTCTTCACAGAATTCTGCAGCTTCCATATCTTCTTCTAAATCTGCAAAGGACTTTTGAAATTCTTCATCCTCAAATTCAATATCTTCTAATTCACTCTCATCTTCCAAATCACCATCAGATTCAGAATCAATGTCTGCTTTTCTTTTAGATGCCTTCTTTCCTTTATTAAGTCCTAATTCCGTTGCAAAGTTTAATGAATTTTTGCCCTCATCTTCAGTGTGCATCTACACCATTGGGGAAAAAAAAAAAAAAAAAAAAAAAAAAAATTATAACTGACATTTTAAAAATATATATATATTGGGGTACCATTTATACATCTTTTAAATTTATATGTTGTTTCATCTTGGTCTCAATTCAATTCTGTTCATTTTAATGGTAAAATATTTCTTTCATATGTTGCTTAACTTCAGTTATACATTGCTTTTGCTTGACTTACAGCATTGGTGTTACATCTTGCAGTCCCTCCATTGAAATATTGTTCCCAGAAATGGGGATAGGAGAAGGAAACATGAAAGGGGATTAGGAGAATTCATGAGATATAAGTCACACTCTGGCATAGGAGTTGAAAATCAGTTTCATAAATAGAGGGGATACTTGAAAGTTTTTTTTTTTTTTTTTTAATTTCCACTGCCAGTGCTGATGGTATGGAAAAAAGTTCTTCTTCAGTTATTAGAATTATAAAAACAAGATGTTTTAAACATGTTAAAACTCTACCATTAGAATATAAAGCAAATAAGAAAGCATTGATAACTACAGACATTTTTATAGATTGGCTTAAGAAAACAGACAAAACTATGAGGAAACAAAACCACAAAATTTTACTTTTTATTGATCAATGTACCGCCCATCTTCAAACAACAGATTTCTTGCAAAATGTGAAAATTGTACTAGTGCAGTACAACCCTTAAGAATTAATTTAAGAACCCTTAAGAAAATTTCAATAAGAATTTGAAAATCTACAGGCAAAGATTGATTCTAATAATCCTTTAAAATATAACTACAAGGAAAAATTAAAATATACAAGGAAATAGTAAAACCACAAATTAAAAATTGCTTCATTAAAGCACGATTTTCAAAACTGAGTCAAGTGAAATTATTGATGATGAAATTGTAATAATGGACGAAGAAGACTGGAAATTATCAAGATAAGACATTACAATCGAGGAATACGTAAATTGTGATGCAAATGTAATGACACCAGACTTATGCACAACTGAACTGATTGAAAACATTTTACCATATGAATATTTAAGTAGTGGGGGTGAAGAAGAAAATGACAAAGTAATGCCAGCTTCTTTTCGAAATGCTATCTATTGCATTGACACAAAAACGTCCTTGAACTCCCGCAATAGAAAACACTAAGACAGGTTGTCTTTTTAGATTTATTTTAAAACTTACAAAGTGAATTCTAAGTTATAAAAGGTTTGAATTAGTTACAAAAACATTATACATAACTACTATAGAAGGAAAAGACAAAGTCTTTCCTGATGCAAGATGCATCTTACTCCAACATCATTCAGATAACTTTTTGTTGTTCTTTTGCTGCCGGGGGGGGGGGGGGTAGAACGGATACACCATAGAGGTATAAATCCCAAAATCCTCTTTGACTAGTTTCACTCGGTCTACCTAAAGGTATCCAGACACACTGGGGTTTTTCTCATGAGAATAAAAAACTTTAATTGCAAACGAACTGTATTTATCACAACACCCTCAGAAACTTCTCTGTGTCTGTGTCTTGTGCAATAATACAAGCAAAACTGAATTCGATTCCTAGCGCTTTACTTAAGATTCAGAATCAAAAGACACGCAAGACGATAAATAAAGACTTTTCCTTAAAAAAAAAGTTGAAATTTGCTTTAAAATGTTCTTCGAGAATTTTTTTTTTATTTATTCAAGAAGAGAGTTCAGATAAAGGCATCACTTTTTTTTTCAGTTTTATGTAACTATGTACAGAAATTTGCATTTTTATGATTTTTAAAATATTAATTGTAGAAACTTTTTTTTAAATATGAATTAAATTTTATTTAAAATATTAATTTTAAATTCTTGAATATAGTTAATATTGTAAGTAAATTGAAAGTACAATAATAAAACTGTGTAATAGCAGGAGTAGGTTAGTGGCATCCAAACTGCACTGTTAATATATACACACACTGGCCAATGAATTAGAAACCTTTGAGATTTTCATTTGAATGTGTGCTAAGTATAAAGTAGGCAAATTTTTTTATGATGTAGGTTTACATGCGGTTAGAATGCTAGTATGAGTAAGGTTGTAAAAGTGCTTTTCATGATGAATGAAGTAAAAATGGGAAAAACTACAAATCTTTCACCATTTAAAAAGAGGCTTATTGTTGGTGCCCGTTTAGTGGGAGCCTCGATTTCTAAGACAGCAAATCTCACTGGGTTCTCAAAAGCACCCATATCACTCTAGAAGACATAACTGCGATTTGAGCAAAGTTCTCCAAGAGAGTGATCAGCATAGTCTCCAACGAATTGTACGACAGAACAGAAACTCTAATGTGCTTCAGCTGACACAGATTGTCAACCAAGGCTCTTCCCAACAGATTTCAGCTCGAACCATGCACAGAGAATTGCAGAGAATAAGAATGCATAGGTCGGGTGACTCTGCGAAAACCACTCATTTTTGCCTGACATGCAGGAATTCATTTGCAGTGGTGTCGGGAAAGAAGACACTGGACACCTGAGGACTGGAAACAGGCAATGTGGTTGGATGAATCCCCATACATCTTATTTTGCACTGATGGAACTCATCGAAATTGGTGAGAAGCCCTAAATTCATCTTACCTTACTTGCACTGTTCAAGGGTCTGGTGGGAGTATCATAATATGAGGCATCATCTGCTGGCATGGAAGTGGTGCCCTGGTGTTCCTTGAGGGTAAACAAACAGCCATGAGATGCCTAGATATACTGGCAAATCAAACGTACCCTGCAATGTTGCATTTTTACCCTAATGACAAATAATAATAAAACAAACAAAATAATGCAACTATACATCATGCCAGAAGTGTTCAAAATTTGGTTCGCTGAACATCAGTCTGACTTCCAACACCTTCCCTGGCCACTGCATAACCTGGATCTTAGCCCCATAGAAAATGTGTGGGATATCGTGGAAAGATGCATCCGACAGCTTTCTCCTCTTCTATCTAATTTACGAGATCTAAAAAGCTGCATAGCCAATGCATGGTATTCTCTGGACGTAAATGCACTTCAGAAGCATGTAGATTTGATGCCCAAATGAATCATGAATCAGAATAGTTATCCGTGCGAAAGGTGGTCCAATAAAGTACTGATCTTGGGTTTCTAATTCAACTGGCCAGTGTGTGTAGTTATATACATCATAAATTAAAATTTCATTTATACATCTTTCTCATTTACATGTTGTTTGTGAATGGTCCCTTGAAAGACATATAAATAGTGCTCTACTATATATAGTTAAATAAAATTATAGTTTCTAAAATAACGAAATACAATATAAGCAAAAATATATATTACTAAACATTATTACTATCAACAATTAGTCATGAAAGTGGGAAATCCTTAAATAATAATTTTACATTTGTGTAATGAGCTAATTAACTTTGTTTAATGAAAAACACATTTTTCTCATTTAAGAACTGTATGTTAATTCTGATGCAATATATTAAAAACACTAGCACATGTTGATAGACGACTATCTTTTGAAAGATGATCACAGAACCCTGTTTTCAATTTTAGAAATAAAATTACATAGATTTTTTAGGATGTGATAATTTTGAACATGTGACATCTTTTAATAAAAATCAGGAAATTTGATATAGACCTTCTAGTTATAATTAGTCAAATGTGCCTTATTCTAGCAGCATTTTTAAAAGAAACTAGTCCCATATATAATCCTGAAAAACTGATGCAAAAATGTCAATTTTAAATATCATAAAAAAATTAATTCTGTGAGATACAAGGTTTCAAATTTTAACATTTTTACAAAGGGAGGTATGAAACGTATGCTTTCAATTTAGGTATCCTATAATATTTAAATCAATAAAAATATAAGTTTTCTGAATTTTAGCATTTTTATAAACGGAAATTTGAAACCTATGATTTTATATGAATATTTATTCGACTTTAAAAATATATCTTTGAAATTTGCATTTGAAAACTTATAGTTCTCTTTGTGTAACCTCACAAAATTTCAGTTACAGAAATTCTGATGATTTTGGTCACATGAGAATGGATGTTAGCTTTTTTTGTTTAGAAGAAACATTTTTCAGTACTTGTTTTAGCAACCCCTGAAACTGAATTCCCAATCAGCATAGAAATCTGGGTGCATGTTCACATGATTGTATATTAGCATCATGTTGCATTTTTGCTCTCATTAAGTGCTTTTATGTTATTCATTTTCGATGACATTTTCAAATTCAGTTTATTTCTTTACAAACACATTCATATCATCTTTTTTTTTTTTTTTTTTTTGTGTGTGTGTGTGCGTGTGAATATCATGTTAACATTCTCACCAAATAATGAGGTAAGCCATATAATATTTTAAAGAAAGAGGTCTTTTACCTGACAAGTGAGTATACGAAAATGGGTAGAACATGAAACTTTATATAAATGATGAACCCATTTGGAGGTGCAATGTTAAAAATTGCAAAAAGAAGAAGGACATCTGTGCTGGAAATTGCTTCAGCAGTTCGAGAATATTGTTCGTTACTGCTATCGGATTTATGTATTTTTGAGCAGAGGAATTGACGTCGACAAAATGCTGCAACAAATAATTTAATATGTGTGAAAGTGCTGCAGTTGACTGGAACAATTACATGCGATAAAACATATAAGGATTCTTAAAAATATTCTTATGAAATGATATGTGAATATTATTGTTGTTATTATTGTATATTTTATTATTTATTTTTATATTCACATTTCATGAGCTTGGCGAAATCATAGCTGAGACCTTGGCACAAATCTAAAATTGCCAATTATCATTAGGGGCCAATATAAAAAAAATGTACCAAAATTTCTCATCCACCTGTCATATGATCAGAAATATTTGAAACCTTAGATGCCCAAGTACACAGATTGATATATTTTTTTAATGTTACAGTTTCCTGTGAGTAATCAAAACATGTTGTAAAACTACTCTTAACTGCATGCTCTTTTGGAATAAAAGTCATACTACTATATGTTTTATGCACAATACATAAAAAAACAATATTTTAAATATATATTGAAGCAGTAAACTAACTTACATTATCTATCAATTTCTGAAAATCTTCACTACACACACTTTCAATATCAGAATCTTGCTTGGTAGATTTCCCACTTGCAGCTCTTTTGTGCAAATATTGATAAATATACCTTTCTTCAGCTGGAACTTTTTCTTCATTTTGTTGGAGGTATTCTTCACTGTTTATAGGTAAAAGTTTAGAAGATTTAGCTTTTAACTTTCGACTTCCAAATACTTTAGTGTGAGTGTTTAATTGACTATCACACAGTTTCTTAGGATTTCGATACACAAATCTGTCCAAGAAACGTGCGACTGTAAAATCAATCAGAGGATCACCATTATATTTAATTTCATTAGAATTATAAATCTGATGAGCAAACAATGACACAGATGGATGAAAACTATCTTTCAAGAAGAGTAATTCCCATAAATGAGCACATTCAGCCCTAGCATGAAGGGGATTTCGACAGTTCACATCATAAACTGATTTTGAACTTTCTTTCTTAGTCCTTCGTTTTCTGTGAACCCAAGAACCAATATTTGGTTTTGAGTCTGGAATAATTTTGTCTTGTTCTCCTTTAGGTCTAGGATTAGCCTCAGTTTCCTAAAATAAAACAGAAAATAGGCATGTGTTTAAACATAAACTTACAATAAATACTATGCAATCTTAAGATAGTAGATATTGATTTTATACATACAAGAACTGATTTTTAATTTATAAATCATTTTATCTAATTTTAAAAGTCACAGACTGCACTTTTAGATATTATCTGTCAGATTAGATACTGATTATAAATAGTGTCAAACAATTGTAAATCAAATCTTAATTATATATTTCATACCTGTTACTGATGATATATTCCCAAGTTTATAGACCTGGGATTAGTGTTCTTATATAGTGTAGTAATAAGTAACTGTCTAGTTTTAAGTTTTTAACATATATCTAAAAATTATACACCTTCTTTCAGTCTTTAAAAAATTCCATTATTACGCAAAAAAGATTCCATCATATTAAAAAAATAATAATAATACATAAGCCCTATTTCATAGATATTTAACACAGGCAATCATATATTATTTTTTTGAAATAAAAGTATGAAATGGTTAAATAGTAAAAGTAATAATAAAGACATTGCATTTGCAGAACTGTGCATAAAACAACGGAAATGTTTTAGATTTTAAATTACGTCCAAAGGGGCGTTTTTTAACATTTTGTGTGTTACCTTTCTTTATTAAATATCATGTTCCTCGCACTTAAACCATAAGATCCAGTGCAACAGCAATATCGCAAAATAGTTTTAAAACGAGCATATTTTTGGAATTTCCGATACAGAGACTCACGCGCTGGAGATAAAAATGTTTTTTCTGCACAACGTTGCCATTGCCATTGCTCGCTTTGAAATCCTTGAGTTTGTTAATCAAAAATTCGTCAAAGTTTTAAAAAATAGGAAATCGATCATAAAACAAATTTCAAATTTGGTCTTCCACATGCTCATATTTGTTGGAGGATTACGTTATTCAAAATTCGATGACTCTATGTACCGTTATTTTATGACAATGTGAGAAATATACATACATTTACGCAGATTTTCATTATTTAATTTCTTCAAATATAATGCAGGACTCTAACATTTTATGGCAACAGTTTGAAAAGTGAACCGACATTTATCCGTCCGACGCAAAATGCCAAAACGAAACTAATAGTCCTTCGGGATTCAAATCCCTTTGGACTAAAAAGAGGAGAAACATTTTAGATTTTAAATTACGTCTAAAGGGGCGTTTTTAAAACATTTTGTGTGTTTCCTTTATCTATTAAATATCATGTTCTTCACACTTAAACCATAAAACTCAGTTCAACAGCAATGTCGCAAAATAAATTTAAAATGAGCATATCTTTAGAATTTGCAATACACAATTCTGTGTGCTGGAGATAAAAAGATCCCCCCCCCCGTAGAGTGTTGCCATTGCTCGTTTTTAAATCGTTGAGTTTGTTAATCAAAAATTCATTAAAGTTTTAGAAAATATGAATCGATAATAAAACAAATTCCAAATTTGGGCTTTCAGATGCCCATATTCGCAGTAGGATTACGTCATTAAAAATTGGATGGTTCTAGGTAATCACAATGCGAGAAACACACATACATTTATGCAGATTCTTCATTTCTTCAAATATCATACAGGGCGATAGTATTTGGTGGAAACGATTTGAAAAGTGATATGCCGTTTATAGGGTTCCGATGCAAAACTGCAAAACAAAAACAGTAGTCCTTCAGGGACAAAGCCCCCTTAGACAACAACAACAACAACAACAAAAAAAAAAAAAAAAAAAAAAAAACTGATTGCATTATATTTTCTATTTGAAACAAATATATTAATACAAATTTCATGACAATCTTAATACTTTCAAGAAAAGTACTGAATATTCTGTAATAATGAACATCTTTTCTCCCTCAGTAAACAATATAAAATTGTTGCCTTAATCAAACAGCAAACCAGTCTTTTACTCTGGGGTTCATTTACAACCATTGGTTACAACAGAATATTATAAGCATAAAAGATATGTATGAGAATGATGTGTACATCAACAAACAAGTTCTTATGATTATAGTTTCAAATACAATTCAAAAATTTCCCACAGCTATATACTAGCCATTGTAATGTGATCCAAACAGGAAGAAACTTCAAATGGTGTTGGAATAGTGCGAGTAACTCAAAAAAAGATCAAGCACAAATGCACTAATAATTGGACGAGAAGTGAAAATGAGGGAAAAAAGGTTGGCACTCTTTTTGTCATCAGGACTGGATTCAGACGTGTATGTATGTGCACACACATAGATGCATGTATGTACACTGTGCTAAAAAAGGGGGGGACAGTTCTATAACTCCCATTCTACTGGGCCAATTGACAAAATTCAACTTGAATTTTTCATGTCTCAAAAGTGCAACTTAGGATTGTATTAGATTTATATATAGCATTGTTCTAATATAGGGATTTTGACACAAAATCAGATTTTCTCTGAAATGACATGCCATTTTTTTTTACATATTTCGATTCTATGATTCAAATTATGCCACACTGCCAAGGTTTGTAAAAATTGAATGAGTAATTTTTAAAAACTTAGCTCTCAAAATTTCAGCTCTTTAATGTTAATTGAGTTTGGTATATATTTATTAATCTCTCTTTTTATTAAACTTCCATTCTTTCTTTCACATTTCAAAATTTAGTTTCCTTCCAAATAACATTCACCCATTTTTTTATGATTTATTTTTAAAATTTGTATTCTTAAATAATTTTGATAAATTTTTTGAGAAAAACTTTGAATTATGATCTATATAATTTTTATCATCAGCTTAAAGTAGATGTATTTTTAAGCATACCTGCAAAAGAATTATAGTTTTTTATTCAAATTTTCCAAAGATATACGTGAATTTATATTTTGGTGTGTTTTGAAATTTGGCATATTTGTTGAAAGCAATAATAACATCAAACGTGGTTTAGGCACTTAGTTAAAATGATTTTAAAAGTAGGAACAGTGTTACTTTTTTCCACTCATGCATAACATAAAAAGGTAGGAATGATGTGACTTTTTTCCCACTCCTGCACAATGGAAGGGAAAGGAAAATAGGTTGCCATATATTAAGAAGTGAATTATTCTTGGTTAAAACTGAAAAAAATGCACCAAGAGAAATTTTTGAATTTCTCCGCAAATTTCACACCAAATTTTACAAAATTTAATATTTAGGCATAATTTGACTCATAGAATCGAAATACAGAAAAACATTGGCATGACATTTCAGAAAAAGTCTGATTTTGAGTCAAAATACCTATAGAACAATGCTATATATGAATCTAATATACATCTTAAGTCAAGCTTTTGAGACATGGAAAACACAATTTGCATTTCATCAATGGGCCCAGTAGAATGGGAGATACAAAACTGTCATATTTCTTTTTTCTTTTCTTTTTCCCTTCTCCCTTTTTTGCACAGTGTACTTATATATATGCATGCATGAACACATTCATCCATCCATATATACATGCATGCATTCATACATACATTTCTGGACCCAGTCCTGACAACAGAACAGTACCGAAAGGTTCCAGTCACACATCAACTGTAATATATGTATATAACATATTCTCAAAATTTGTTTGCTGTAACTGTAACGATAAGAACTCATTTCTTATTATTCAACTGAGTTCATACTTTACTGTGTTTTTATTTTGAATTGCATTCTGGCTTGCTGAACAATGCATCTAGGAGCTCATATGCAAAAAAAGTTTTTTTTTTTTTTGTAGCTACCAGTACATAAAAAAAAGATAACTCATGTATTGGTATTGCAAATAGTTACTACTGGTCGTAAAAACAAATGATTTATACATGCATTTCATCAAGCATAACTGTTACTATAACATTCAAACACTATAAAGATTTCCTTGGCTAAAGACTTTTATACTTACATGAATTTTTTTTCCAAAATTTATTATTATTATAAATACATCTAAAGTACAACATTCAGTTCTTTTACATTTAGAGAATATACAGAAAACTTTTATCTTTGTTGAAAATTCATGAAATAACAAAACGTGCTTACATCAGAGATATCTGAATAATGTTCCTCACTGTCACTGTCTGACTGAAATGATGGCACAGTCTCTAAAATATCTGGATGAATTTTATTGATTTCCGATATAAGCATTAATATGCCACACTGAAGGTTTGGAGCTTGATACAGAGCTACCTATTCATTAAGAAAAAATATTTAAAAAAATTACAATAAAATGATAGTTTTCCCATTAATGATTTAATATATATCTAAGAATATATTTGATACATATTTTTCAATCATGATTTCACAGTTTTTGTACACAAGAATACAGATTGTTTGAATTTTTAATCAATCGTGGTTCTCTTAAAGAACGCATTCTAATATTATCTAATCAATGTAAGCACACAGTAACAATAAATAAACCTTTAGGTAGCTAAAGGTCCCTCCTCATCAGGAGAAAGAAATACATAGAAAGAAGAAAATAGGAATCACAGAAACACGTGGTGCTTATCAGCACTGCACGTGGTTATAACTAGATTTTTAATCAGAGTTGCACTGGCCGCCTACTTTTACTGAGCCAGGCTGTCTGATCAAGCATAAAGAAATATTAGCGAAGTTAAAATAGGGAGCGAGGGCAAATGCACATTACGCTCAAAATCTGAACTTCAAATAATGGAAAGCAACCACTGAACGGATTTTTTATACCCTCTGGTAGTACCAAGTGCGAGGAGGTAACGCCATCTATCGGCAAAAATAATTGAATTAAGACAGTAGAATTTTAAAGGCATTAGGAAGGACTGGATTGGACTTCAAATCATTAACTAAACTTTTTAAATCTTGTGAATGTGAAAAGCCTCAAGAAAATCCAATTCGCCTATGGAAGAAGCCTTTTGGATGATTTTTGCAGACCCAAATCAAAATCAAAATTATGGTTAAAAGTCCAGCTATGATACGCTATTGAAGACTTGTTAATTTCCCCTTTTTTGACATAAGATTCATGTTCCTTGATACGAAACTTCAACGCTCTTTTGTTTGGCCAATATATCTTAAACCACACTGACATGATATACTATAAATTCCCCAAGAATTCAAGACAGAAACGCAATCTTTTAGAATCGAAGGGTGAATTTTATTAATAGGGTAGAAACCGACTCGAAAATTGAATTTCTGGAGAATCCGTGCAATTTTATAGCTAACAGAAGGATAAAATGGAAGCACGACAAGGTCATTGATATTATTTCTAACAGTGGAATGTCTTCTTTGATGGGAATCTGAAAATTTTTTGACGGCTTTATCAATAATCACAGGAGAAAATCCACGGTCAATCGCAACTGCTCTCAAATAATTAAGTTCATTGGTAAGCAAAGATTCAGAGGAACAAACTTTTAGCGCGCGGAAAACATAATAGTAAAAAGAAGCCATTTTTGCTTAACAGGGTGGCATGACTTGGCATGGGGTGGTAAACAAACTGCAAAGGGTTTACGGTACACAGTGGTGCTAAAATCGGTTTTCATTGCGGATTATAAGAATATCGAGGAAGGGGAGGGAATTGTTGGATTCAATTTCAAGAGTGAATTGGATGGCTGGATCAATTGAATTCATAATAGATAGAATCTCGGATAAATCCTCTTTATAACCGTCAAAAAGTGCGAAAGTGTCGTCAACATACCGAATCCAAAGACGAAAAGATAATTTATCAAATAATTTCATCTCAAAATAGTGCATATAAATGTCAGCAAGTACCGGACTGAGAGGAATCCTTCAACTTGACGAAAATATGCATGTTGAAGGATTGGCTATGGGTAATCCTCTCAGTCCGGTACTTGCTGACATTTATATGCACTATTTTGAGATGAAATTATTTGATAAATTATCTTTTCGTCTTTGGATTCGGTATGTTGACGACACTTTCGCACTTTTTGACGGTTATAAAGAGGATTTATCCGAGATTCTATCTATTATGAATTCAATTGATCCAGCCATCCAATTCACTCTTGAAATTGAATCCAACAATTCCCTCCCCTTCCTCGATATTCTTATAATCCGCAATGAAACCGATTTTAGCACCACTGTGTACCGTAAACCCTTTGCAGTTTGTTTACCACCCCATGCCAAGTCATGCCACCCTGTTAAGCAAAAAATGGCTTCTTTTTACTATTATGTTTTCCGCGCGCTAAAAGTTTGTTCCTCTGAATCTTTGCTTACCAATGAACTTAATTATTTGAGAGCAGTTGCGATTGACCGTGGATTTTCTCCCGTGATTATTGATAAAGCCGTCAAAAAATTTTCAGATTCCCATCAAAGAAGACATTCCACTGTTAGAAATAATATCAATGACCTTGTCGTGCTTCCATTTTATCCTTCTGTTAGCTATAAAATTGCACGGATTCTCCAGAAATTCAATTTTCGAGTCGGTTTCTACCCTATTAATAAAATTCACCCTTCGATTCTAAAAGATTGCGTTTCTGTCTTGAATTCTTGGGGAATTTATAGTATATCATGTCAGTGTGGTTTAAGATATATTGGCCAAACAAAAAGAGCGTTGAAGTTTCGTATCAAGGAACATGAATCTTATGTCAAAAAAGGGGAAATTAACAAGTCTTCAATAGCGTATCATAGCTGGACTTTTAACCATAATTTTGATTTTGGGTCTGCAAAAATCATCCAAAAGGCTTCTTCCATAGGCGAATTGGATTTTCTTGAGGCTTTTCACATTCACAAAGATTTAAAAAGTTTAGTTAATGATTTGAAGTCCAATCCAGTCCTTCCTAATGCCTTTAAAATTCTACTGTCTTAATTCAATTATTTTTGCCGATAGATGGCGTTACCTCCTCGCACTTGGTACTACCAGAGGGTATAAAAATCCGTTCAGTGGTTGCTTTCCATTATTTGAAGTTCAGATTTTGAGCGTAATGTGCATTTGCCCCTCGCTCCCTATTTTAACTTCGCTAATATTTCTTTATGCTTGATCAGACAGCCTGGCTCAGTAAAAGTAGGCGGCCAGTGCAACTCTGATTAAAAATCTAGTTATAACCACGTGCAGTGCTGATAAGCACCACGTGTTTCTGTGATTCCTATTTTCTTCTTTCTATGTATTTCTTTCTCCTGATGAGGAGGGACCTTTAGCTGCCCTCGAAATCGATTGAGTGTTTCATTATACCTACGCTAAATATAAGGTTGTTTTTTACGATTTTGATTGTCACATTAGCGTGTTTCTCTTCTAGTCTAAACCTTTAGGTAGTTGGGCAATATGAGTGTAACACATACCAAAAAAAATTTTCAAATACATAGTTATCTAAAATGGAAAGAACTATATAAATAATGCATTAAGATTGGAATTTCTAACTGAACAGAACATTAAATTTTAAATATTTCATATTTTTTAACATAATTTAAAATTTTTAATGAAATATTTACTGAAATTAATAATTAAAGAATCATGCTACTACAATACACTGCTTTTCTAAATATATCAGAAATTTTTCTTCCTTAAAAAAAAAAAAAAAAAAAAAAAAAAAAAAAAAAAAAAAAAAAAAAAAAAAAATGTTTAGTTGTGTGATCTAATTATATTTTTTATGTGCCATTCTGTTACCATGTGGCAGGGGTGCCAGTTGCCATAGCTTTAGGTCTAAATTTGAATCCCAGAGAATGCAGGGATGTAAGTCTTTGCGGCATGAGGCACCTTAAAAAATTGTAGAACAGAAAGACTTTAAAAGGTTGGTAGAAGATGAAGAGGGGTGGGAGATCCTCGGATCCATCCTCCAAGAGATTCTTCTTTAAAATTGGAACAGAGCTAGCCAAATTTGTACTCTTATCTATAAGGTGCTCAAGTCAGTAATAGGCATAACCCTTGCCTCTTGGTCAAGATAAAATTCACGGACTAGTCTCACTATCAGACAAGTAAGATAAGTCAAAATGATAGTTGTTACAAATAAGAATAAAATGTTACACATTAATTAATCTTTTCATTATTTTAGCACAAAAATTTTTAAAAACTTTAAAAGGAAAAAGACAAATAAATTTTGAACACAAACTATTACCTGTAGAAGTCGCTTTACAAAAGCTCTAACCCTGACAACAGCTACATCTTTTTTCATAGCTCGATAAAGAAGATTCAGAAGTGCTGCTTGGCGAGAACTGCTGTTCAAAGCAGGATCAAAAAGTTTACGGTACAACACATTGTAAAATCTATCTGAAACTGAATCTTTAGAATCCAAAACCTAAAAGAGTTTTTTTTTAATATAATAATATTCAGCAGTGCATGTATTTTTCTTCTAATTTTAAATGTGTAAAATTTTCTATGTAAGATACTTTAAGGAAATAATTATAAAAGAGGAAAAACATCAAATTATATTTATTTCACAAATTTTTTAAAGCATATTATTAACAATACAGCAGAATATTCGTAATAATACATTCCATGAAACTACATATTTTCCAATCATAATTTGTTTTTGTATTTTAAAAAATAAACTGCATTAAAAACAACAGGGAACAATTTTTAGATTGTATTTTTAATAATAATGTTTAAAATTAAAATTAAAAAAAAAAAACAGAATCTATTAAAAAGGGAGATGTTGTGTTATGTTTAGCAACTAAACTAATTTATAAAACGTAGCACTCATTTAAACCAACAAAACCTCTGAAAAGTTTTTATCCACATTGGTATTAAGTTAGTAAATATTTACTCATCTTGGTGCTTTTTAATCTATTTCATTAACCAATTAATTTTTAGAACTAACACTCAGTATTACAACAATCTTGAGATATATTATTATCAATTTTAAAATATTTTTTCATCAAAATACCTTACACAGAATTATTTCATCATATAATCTGCGAAACAATGTTTTTACATTCTTTCTTTCTTTATTTATTTTGTACTGGCTACGTACATCTGCTTTTCCACAATTTAAGAGAAAAACCAGCATCCACAACATTGTGAGACACACAGAAGAACTAAGCTCAGACATAAAAGGCAGCAGATAATGGCATGTTTGAGAAGCTTGTGAATTCTGAGAGTTATCTGCCACAGCAGATTTTTAATTGTGATGAGGCAGGTTTCTTCTGGAAAAAAATGGCCAAAGCAAACTTATATTACAGCAGAGAAGAAGGCTTTGCTGGCCCACAAACCAATGAAAGAGCATCTCATGCTGTTGTTCTGTGCAAATACAAGTGGCAATTTGAAAATTAACCTATTGCTTGTTTACCATTCGAATAATCCATAAGCCATCAAAGAAACAAGGGCAATGTGTTACCTTTTTAGACTGGACCAATGAACTGTCCATAAAAAATTGTTGGTATATCTGTAAAAAAAATCTGCTTGAGATGAATTTGCTGCTCCATGCCTTGCTTGTTATGGATCAATGCTTCTCACATCCACCAGGCCTAGAAAGTGACATCCTTGAAGAATTTAAATTCAGAAAAATCATATTCCTGTTTCCCAATTCCACTCATTAACTGCAGCCTATGGACGAGCATTTCAAATTTTAAGAAGCTCTATATTAAAGCGCTCTTCGAGTGTTGTTTTGAGATAACTGAATGAGAGAGTTTTGTAAAGACCACTTTCACATCATTGTCTGCCTCAAGATGAACAGCAAGGCATGAGAAGGGGTCACCAAGAAAACACTCATTTCCATGAAAGAAGCTTTGGCTACAAAGCATTATCAAACATGACTTAGAGAGGTTTGGAGCATGTAATAATAGGGGGACCGGAAAGTAATGTCGTTTCTGTGCATGTTGACAACAACATGCCAAGGACAGAAGTGGAAGCAAATCCATGTCAAACACTCTTAACCAACCTTGGTTGACCATCCAAGAACATTTAAAGCAGAATGGAAAAATAAGCAAAGCAGGTGTTTGAGTTCTCCATATATAATCTGTCCGAAAAGAACAAAGCCAACCTATCTATCACATGCAATGTATTGCTTCAATGGCACCATACAGAACCATTTTTTGATCGTTTGATTAGTGGAGACAAAAAAATAATTCCTATATGATAATCCAAAATTCAAAAGGCAGTTTTAATAGGGGTTACAAAGGGTTTACATGCGGAAAAGGCGCTTCTGGGTGTTTGATGGAGTATTCGCGGAATTGTTCATTTTGAATTGCTGAAACCTGAAAAAACTATTAATGCAAACCTTTATTGTGAACAATTGGATGGAGTGAACCAATCTTTAATTGAAAAATATTAATTGTCAACAGAAAAGGTGTCTTTCTGCAATACAACAATGCAAGACGAACACTGGAAAAAATTCATGAATTGTGTTGGGAGGTACTGCCATACTCACCCACCATACTCGGCCGATATCGCAGCATTGGATTTCCATTTATTCGAATCCCTACAACATTTTTTTAGTGGCAAAAAATTTGAAAATTTGGATGATGTCCAAAATGTCCTCTTGAGATATTTTTACTCAAAAACCAATTGATTTTTATCGGTCCGGGATTGAAAATCTGCACACTAGATGGCAAAAGGTTGTTGATAATGAGGGTGATTATATTACTGATTAAAAATAAAAACTTGTATTCGTTTGAATTTAATGTAAGAAAGTGACATTACTTTCTGGTCCCCCTATTAGATAAGATTGTGTCTCAGGATTGTGTTACAGCAATAACATCAAGGAGCTAATGGAAGCGCACAGCCAGGAGCTGACTACAGAAGAGCTTATGGAGCTACATTCTGTACCACAGTAAGAAATTTCATAAGAGACAATAGCCTTACACAGAGGAACAATCTTCCAATGACAATAAGGGAGATGCTGAAAGCATAGGAAACTGCTGCATCCTACGATGAGAAGCATCACTCTGATAAACCAGCAATTATGTGTGCTATAAATTTATTTAAAAATAACACTGTGCCTTATTTTTGCCAAATTTTGAAGCTTAGGCTAAAACAGATGTCTTACAACTTTTTGTAAGAAAGGATTTATTGTAAATAATGAATTATATTACTATAAATTTGTTTCAGTTCTTTTTTTAGAATGGAATGTGTTATCCTATTTTACACTGTTTCCCATGGAAAAAATTGTTTTGCTTAATGAGTGTTTCATATTACAAGTAAGATTCAGAACAAATTATGTTCATTAAAAGTGAGGTTCCAATGCATATTGAAGCATTATAAACTTTTGAAATGAAAATGTAATCACTACACATTTCTTCTATACGTATTTCATGCTTAATGTGCAACTTAAGGACTAGAATATAGGCAAAAGCTAAAGCTTCCAAAATGTGCATTTAATGTTTTTTTTTAACCCCTGAGTGGCATTTTATCCTGCCATGAGATTTTTTGTAATTTGCTATACATTATCTTATTATTTAAAATATTTTGTTTTATTTTCTTTATTGTTCTAAATATTACCTTAAAAATGAAAGGGCATGAAAACAGACTAAAGTAATTCATTATGCAAATGTAACAAGAAAATGCTGTTTAAATACAGCTTTCCATAACCAGATCTGAAAATAGGTGCTACTCAGAAGGTTTTGCTTATTTTTGCCAAAACCATAAATAATATCATATATGAAATATGTGTCAATGTTAAATATATTTTATATATACCAAAAATACAGCAAAAATTGAATGCATGCAAGTAAATCTATAAAATATGATGAGAGAGGTTGAAAAAGCAGATTTTATGTTAATTACATGGGTTTTGATTATAAACAAAAAGAATATAAAACTATCAATTGTTTTAAAAAAATCAGAATGAAGGAAACCTTTCAGACACATGTTCAAAACTGTTCAAAGAATTAATTTGGTTCATAGAATCAAATCTCATTAAAATAATAACATAAAATTAACAAAAAAATTTACAAAAGTGAAGTATTTGATTTATTATTATGTATCAAATATTCAAATACAACTATAGGTTTAAAATAATGTTAAATAATCACTTACCTGGAAAATTAGCATCAATGCCTGAATGCTAATATTGAAGCTGACCATATGAACAAGGCGATACATGGCATCTAATCGATCCATAATTACATTGTCTTTTAAATTTGCAAATGGATATGCCCGAGCAATTCCAGTCAATAAGGCACTCATCATTTTAGTGTCTACCTCACCTTTTTTTACAAAAAGTTTGAACTGGCTAAAATATATCATGATCAAATGATTTGCAAGATCAGATTCTTCATGGCTTAAAATAACCTAAATGCAAGAGGTGTTATAAGTTTCATAATACTATTTTTACACATTTAAATATTATTATTTTGGACAGCAAAACAAAGAAAATGAGGTAATAGTTTTTTATCATTGAATTATTAAATTACTATAAATTTGATTTTCTCATGGCTAAATCTATAAGCCATGAGAAATGCACTGAATATCATTCAGATACAATGATGAAATAGCCTATAGTAGTTAGTCTACGTTAAGTTATAAATTTAAGCACTTCAATAAAAGGAATTATCATTAACAGTTTTAAACTAGTATGTATACATTTTGAGAAATACTGTATTTATTTGACTGTAAACTGACCTCAAGAAAATCAGAAGTCTAAAATAAATTTAAAAAAATTGTGTGATTGCATGATACCAATTATAAGCCATGAGAAATTTTATGAACTTTAAAAAAAAGGGGGGCGATCGGTTTACAATCAGGTAAATACAGTATTTATGAACAAACTACATGACAAATATTCATAGTGATACTAGACAGGATCAGTTATATAACTAACTTAGCCTACAGAGAAAATCTCGGGTCAATCATGTTAGTCATTTCATAAAATAAAATGTCTTCTTGCTACAAAACTACTGGAGCTAATGGCAAAATAACAGTTTAATCCCCCTACTTTCCTCACAGTATGAAAAACTCTTCCTGGGGGAAAAATAGCACTAATTCAAATTTAAGTAGGAACAAATTTATTGTACTAAAATTAACGAAAAATATAAAAATACTTTTTCTTGTTTTTATACTTTCTATATTATTTGTAGACATTTTATATAAGAGGTGAATATATAAGAATTATTATGGTGGTGTCATGATTTTTTTCAAAATCAAATCTGTGTCAAAACTCAAACATGTTTTCTTGAAACTATGATTTTTCAGACTCGAAACTGAGATGATTCAAATGACAACAGTTCTTCCATACTCAATAAATTGAATTTTTAAAATGTGTTTTTAAACTAGAATTTGAAAATTCTCCACAAACTATCAATATAGATATGGAATTTTCAAATGATAGGAACTTTTGAATATATACATAATAAAAGAAACAAAATAATCTGACAGTAATTTGAACTTCTTTCAATGAATAAATTTATCAAATTATCTAATTATTAGATTATCATGGCACTTTAAGCATTAAATGTATCTTTATTTAAACCAATGAAACATATTTGATATGTATTATTTTATTTACAAAATATACCAAGTACACAGAAACACTAAATATAAAAATAAAAATTCATACTTGATTGAGAAAGCATAAAGCATAATATTTAGCTCTTTCTGCTAAATTTGGTCGAAATATTAGTCGCTCCACTTCTTGAACAACTATGGCTTTCATATTAGGATGACGAACAAGAAGTTGCCCTAATAAAAAACACACATGGGAGCCAATTTTTGCTACAGGATCACCAATTTTGTTAACTAAGCGTTCAAGAAGAAACTGAAAGGAGGAAAAATAAATAAATAAATAAATAAATATAAAATTACTGAAATTGTTTTACCAATCAGGGGCTACTAAATAATTTCATTTATAAATATACTTGCATAGTAAGTAAATAAAATGCCAGGGAACAAAAGTATCATAAATGATACTTTGAAAACCTTAATAAGTAAGATTTTTGTAATGACAAGGTCTATGGTGATGTTATACTAAGAAAAATATAAAGAAAGAAAAAAAGGAACCACAGAAAGAGTGTTCCTGAAAAATGCATTAATAGGAATGCCAAAGCTTCTGATCTGAATGAGAATGCATCTCCATCAAAAACTGCCAATAAGAGTGCTTAAGAATGATTCAATGACTTTATGTTTCAAGTTCATTATTATGAATGATCTTGCACCTGTTATGTTCATTACCAGGTCAGTACATTTCAAAGCAAAGATGAGACTCTGATCAAAGTTATACCAAAAGGTCTGCTAGCTGACACAATAAGTTGAAAATATGTACTATTCTGTGGTATCATATAGCTTAACATTCAAATAACAAGGTGAAACAATTCACTAGAATTTAAAATCTAGTTAAAGAAAAACCTGTGGTATTTTCCTTAGGGATTATAAGATCAAAAGCCAGCTTTCAGATCTGCAAAGACAAAATGCATATGTTTTTGCAATTTAATTTCTGACCTTTTAGAAAAGAAAGATGTCTGCCCAATATTTTTGTTGCCAAATGTCTGAGCATAGTCAGCTTGGATGCAACAACTTATCAAAATGTCATAAGATGCAAAAGATCACTTATCATAGACCTGCCCTTTTACTTCCTTGTATGAAGTAAAAAGAAAGCATTGTAATCACGAAAAATTTCGGGTATCATGTTTCAACAAAAATATTCATTTTGACTGCTATCGAATGCTATTTAACGATGTTTTTGCGTGGCATTCATATGCAAGGACAGAATAAAAGACTCTTTCCCCCCAAAAAAATCATAAAACTCATTTAAAATGGATTCTGAAGATATTTTTTTAGTGACATTCGTACGTACTTACGTATCTTGCACAGCTCGAAAACGAGAGTGTCAGAAAGTTGAAATTTTGTATAAAAGACTGCTATAACATGTAGATGTACACTTCTTTCTTTATTCTTATATGTTTGTGAATTAGCATTTTTTGCTTCAAAAATGAATGATTTATGTTGTTCTTATCTTTTGGTTAAAGTTTTTATGCCTTTAGTTAACCTGCATATTATAGTTGTAGAATTATAAACAATTAAAGAGTTGTTTAAGAGCGCCTAAGCCCAATTTATTTTTTTGGCCACAGCAGCAATATTTGTTTACATTTGAAACTTAGCAGAATAGTGGATATGTTGTCAATCTAGAGAAACTAAGTGACAACAAAGTAACATCTTTTATTATTGTGAATTAAATTATACTTAATGCATTCTGAAATTATCATTTAAGCTATTAAATTATCCCATATATTGAGTCAGCATAGCATCTACAACAAATTCAGTTTCTATGCCTTCAGTGTCTTTTTGCTGAGTGAGATCAAAAGTAAACCTTTCAGTTTTGTGCACTGAAAAATCTGTCTTCTTGCCCACTAGAGTAGTGTATGAGTAGCACTGCAAGAGCAGCGCATGCACATTAGGTAAGCTGTGCTGAATCATCTGCGAAAAACTTTATTTGTTTAATTTCTTTTACACATCATTTTAGATTTATTAAAGTATCTGAATAGAACATGTGGCAATGATTAGATAATTCTTCAGATGATGTAATCTTTTTGCATTCTGAGTTATAAAATGGATGAGATGTAACGCTGTTAAATGAACCTAGCACCAGAGTATCGCTATGATAAATAAATATAGTGAATTTTAAAAAGCACATTTATTCTACTGTGGTTTATGAACTATTGTCAAAGTAGATTTAATTCATTCAATAAGTTTAATGAAGTGCAGAAAAAATGTGTAAAATTTAATGTTCCATACGAGGAAGTCATGTGGTGTACACATCAGTTTTTTTTTTTTTTTTTTTTTGAGGAATCATAAAACCAGACGTATCTGGTACATCCACAAATTTTCATAGATATTTCAAATTTCTAACATTTATTGCTTCCCAGGATAGAATGAGGAAATAGAAAAGAACTGTCCTAACATTTTAAAATAAGAAGTGAGATGATTGAGAAAAAGTATAAGTAGAAAAATAAGACAGTAGAAGAGGAATTAGAACTGTTTACTTTTATCGCTATTACACAAAGCTTAGTCACTGTGTTTAGTGATCGATGAATTTTATAATTTTCTTGCTAAAACAAACAAGACTCTGAGAAGAATGCTGGAAAGCAACATCTCCATTTAGTGGAAACGCTCGGATATTATGATACAAGAAGTTGAAAATAGCAATTTTTCTCTTCCACTGTTAACTGATAAATCAATTGTTTGACTTTCTCCACTCAATTCCAACTCCATCCTTTATTTATTAGATTTATCTATATAACTGAGTCACTTCCTACAAAAATCCCAAGATAAGTGAAAATAATTGAGTAAGATAATAAATTATGGATATACAGTCAAAAGTCGTTAATCCGGACTCGTCGGGACTTCGGCGATTTTGGATTATCGATTTTTCCGGATTATAGATCATCAGTTTAAATCTGGTAAGATGGCATGCAGAAATTAATAAAATTAAAAATATGAAACCGTAATTTATGAAATAAAGAACAATTATGATCTAAAGGGTATCAAAATTTACAAAAAGAAAAAGCTTAATATTTATTTGTTTACTTTATTAAACATTTCTTTCAATGTAAGTTGTTTAAGTTGCTTTGTTTCATGTGATAATACTTTCTCTTAAATTCTATTAAACAGACATAATTTCTTGTTTAGTTACAAAGCTCCGCTATTCAAGTCCTATAATTGCGGTGTCGAGAATAACGACTAATTTGTCAATCGGAATTTTTTCGTTTTCAATAACCTCTGTGTCACTTTCTTCGCTATCGGAAGCGAATTGTAATGATGAGGAACTTGATTTAAATCATATCAAAGACGGAGTACATCGAGATGAAATACTACATTTGGTAAGGAATTATAAGCCAAATAAAATAAAAACATCTGCCCTGAAGATAAGGATAGTGCTGACAGATCAACTTCCAATTCATTGCACGCCGCGTCGTCCCCCCCGGCAGAGCAGCGTGAAATTGATAAACATATTTCGGAATGATTAGATAATCAAAGGATATGCCTTTATCCAATTTTTGCAGCAATTCCACTTTCTGTTTAATAGACTTCAAAACATACTTTCGCTTTGTAGATGCTTTACATATTAGTAAATATATATCGGAAATTCTATTTGACATAATCGAAAGTTCACGTTTACTTTTATAAAATTGCTCTAACAGTCTGCAAAAAATAATAAGTCGGATCCAATTCGAAGATTAAGGAACAACGCAATCTGCAACATTAACTGAATTAGATAATTTTAACTTAGCTTATACCGTCCGTTATACATTACGTAAACGTATTATGCGCATGCGCAAACGCATATTCGCAGCCGTAAAGGTCTATGCGCATGTGTCAACCCGACGCACGCGCAGAAAGTTTGTAGCTTTGAGGTCCGGATTATAGATCATTCCGGATTATGGGTGTCCGAAATAACGACTTTTGACTGTATAGTATAAATATCTGAAAGGAAAAAATTCACAATTTTACTGAAATGGAATGGAACTAATCAGCATTCTCTTAAGGTATTAGCAAATTAATCTTAGCAGTGAAAGCTGAAATATTCAATATTTGAATTCAAAATACTATTTTAAATTTGCTAAAAGGAAGAATTAGAAAGTTACCTGTTCTTCTTCAGGAGTTTCTTGTAGCAAATTATACATCACAGTGACAGCCTTCTGTTTTGTTTTGTCAACTGTATCACGGCTGACTGAATCCAGATTATTTAAGAAATTCTTATATAGTTTTTTAAGCATGTCTTCAAATAACCACAGAATAAGAACACGTTTTCTCAAAACAGGAGAATTTTTTGTGATAGAGTCTAAATGTTTCAAAGGTTGCTAAAAAATAAATAAATAATTTTAAACACTTGCATAAAACTTGCACATCAAACTAATACAGTAATTGTCACAAAATAACTTGGAATATTGAAGCAAATTACTTTGGAAAGATTAATTTTTAATTTCAGAATTTTAATAAAATATAAGCACATATGAATTTTCATCTCAAATTTGATATTAATAATGCACAGAAATAATTACACAAAAATTTGGCATATGGCCAGAAAACCCTGAAAATCGAAACAGTTGTTACAACAGACATTTGTATATTATTCATATGCTTCATATAATTATTTAAGTTAATGAATCAGGTAATGTAGAAATCAATTTTTTAATGCAAATAAGCATACAAAGCATAAACAGAAAATTTTCATCATGAGCATTTAAAAGCAAAAATAGAGTACCTTCCTGTGCAGACCACAGCTGATATTCGTAAAACATATGAATATCAGTACTGAACTTCACTTTCATGCCACCATCTCTAAAGAAGACCAATATTATCTGGAAACCATGGATGGTCATCTATGAGAAGGTTCACTGCATGTTGTGCAATATCAAATTTTTTATTATGGCTTAATATCAAAAGTATTAATTATAAATTGTATAACTAAATAAGGTACCTCCTTATCGTTATGGTCCTTATTGCAATAGCGCCAAAATTATCACCAAGTTTGTGTTTACTTCTCATATAATTCCAGACTGTCATATTTTCACAACTGGTTTTAATTATAGCATAAAAAGCATTTTCTTATCCCAAGGATTTTCACCACATGAACTCTGCAAGATAAAATTCAAAATGATGACAAACTATGCCACATTGCATTTCATTCTGCCACTTAATAGAGACCGACAATCTTTCAACTTTTTTTTTTTTTTTTTTTTTTTTTTTTTTGTACGAGCAGCTGTTGCTGGATCCATAAAATAAAATTTATTATTCACAACAATATGAGCATATTTATCTCCTAAAGCCCTTTTTGTGGGCTCACCAACAGCCTGAATAAATCATCATTTTTTCTTTTACATATTTTATAATTTTTGCCATGTAATTGGTTGTCTCTCTACTTAGAACCTAAAAGAGAAAGCACTCACAATCTTCTCTGCATAAACTGCCAAATATCCATGGTTGTGGAAGAACTCTGTTGGCATTGTTTTTTTTTCACCAAACTTTTGTCAAGTTCAATAATTTTTCCAGGGCCACTAATTTGCTTATTTAATTATTGGATTAAATACAAAGAACATATCTGCTAAAACTGTGCAGTCAAAAGTCATGTTTTCACAGAGGATGACTTGTTTCTCACCACTCTATCAACAACAGTTCTGCCCTATAGTAAATAAATCACTGTACTATTACCAACAATATTTTGGAAACAGTTGTCAAAATGCATGCTTTTACTGATATATACAGCAGGTGTTTACACATTTTTAAAATTATTTCACGGCCATTTAAACAATATTTAAAATGTAAAGTGTATTTCTTAAATGTTCAGTCTGATAGACTTCTTTTTTTTTTTTGATTATGAGTCTGCATTGTAATTTCTAAGATAGAAGAGCTTTACAATAAAATATCCAGGTGTACTGGTTTCCATTCCACTTTCACTACTTTCCAGAGCCCAACAATTATGGTGGGTTTGTGATTAGAAAGAGCTCTTTTCAAAAGACCAAAGACACAATAACAATAGACCATAGGTGAAACGCCACGGGACTTTGGAAGAATATGCTGAAAAGGTATATATGCAATACCTGTCTCAGTCTTTATTTTTTTAAGGAATGCAGTGATACTTTTTGAAGTAGAACTTGTTGCTTCGTCTTGTCATTGGGATAGAGAACAAAAGTGAAACTTTCTCCTGATGATAAGTTGAGTTAATTTTTACATTTCTCCCCACTATTCTTATTTTTAAATTCTCACTGTAAGAAAATTCTGTAATAAACATTAACCCCTTACCGAAACTTTCTTTACATTGACAGAACCCCCCCCCCACTCCCTTTTTTTTCTGCAGTCACTCAGGTAAACCTATGCCTCCTCATGTTTCAGGATGTATTTCCATTTATCTCCTGCTAAATAGTTTTCATAAATAAATAAATAATAATTTCTTAATAAAAAAATGTTAAAATTAAAAAAAAAGGGGGGGGAAGAAAGAAATTATGTTAACAAGTGAAATTGTTGTTGACCATATGGTAATAATCTGAGGTATAATGTCAGTGGTTTATTGCTAATCTTGGTGCTGTTTAAAAACAGGATGGCATAAAAATAAAGAAGTATTTCAAATAATCTTCATTAATCAAATTTTAAAAAATATCTACTTCCATTCCATTTTTATATATAGCAAATAAGTACAGGAATTTTGTATTTTATTTGCTATAAACTAATAAGCAGATCACTAAAATTGAGTGAATAGTGTATTTTAATTTCAGTAATGAACATGAAATATAGTATCAGCCAATTATATACAATAGCATGCAAAAGTTAAGAAATGATCAAGTTGATGCCTATATTTCAGAGTCAGATGACTGAGTTGAGGGTAAATCATATACAAGATGCCTTAAATGGCATAGAATAAATGAAGAAAACAACATGATATAAGATACAAAATGTGCAATAACACTCTATGCAGAAGAGGTTTACTCTACACTTGTTGCTCTGATATAAATGAATCACCCATACAGACATTAAAAACGAAAGCATGTAGGCTTCAGTTGGAGATAAGTTGGATCTTATAATACAGATAAATGCTCTTAACCACATATACAATTTTTGAATGAAACAGTTGATAAGTTAGATGTTCAGAGGGCTAAGCAGACATTTTCAAGAAAGAAAGAGCCTCATCTTCCCAATGCCAAAATGCAATTGGCTGTTGAACTATCATTCAAGAAAGTTAAAACGCAAGAACTACAATGCCTACAAACAAACATACATAGAACAGGATTATTTCAATACATCAATCTTTCAATACCTCTAGCTTTATCTCCTGGCCATCTAATAGCAGTGAAACTGCAATTAGATGGCCAGGAGACAAAGCTAGATCGTAGCGGTTTATTTGACCTTAGCATTTACTTCTTAGAATGCATACTTCTATTACATGTAGCTTTACATACCAGTCCAGCTCTGCCAGCAGAGAACATACTGACTATCTCCTTGACCTGTTTCAGTAATATCTGTAAGGAAATACAGCTGACGATCAGAATCACTGCTAAGATTGAATCTTCATTCATCAATAAATAGTAGTTTACCATCATCATGATGTCCAATCCTTGCTTTAAGTAGATAACATGCTGGCTGCTAGATAAATTATCCAACTTGTAAATGGATATAGTAGACCATGACACTTTGCAAATGGTTTGGAATGGATTCCACATCTGATCTCTTTTGACTCATACCACAATAAAGTGGCCATTGTTAGGCATTGTTTTTTAATTCCAGCCCTTTGAGTAGCTGTACCTGATATTTTGGATGTTATCCACACCATGATATAATGCTGAGGACAAAACTGAAATTGTTAGCTCTACATCTCCTAGACTGTGCCTTTCCACCAGCTCTCGATAATATTTGAACATGTGTCAGCCATGTAACTGTTTCTAGCAGATAATTTAGCTCTTCATAACATGAAATTAAAGTCATCAAATGTGAATAATTATCATCATTTATACACTACCTCAACACAATTTTAAATTCTAAATACTATGCACCAGCTTTCTGTTGAAGATCTATGACTACACAAATCAAAGGCTTTTCCATTCGATTTTGAGGTTGTTGTCTATAAAAATGTTGTTTCTTTAGTTCTGCATGCCAGTGCATGCTACTGAACGATCTGAAAATTAGATTAGGTTAAGTTATTTTGACTACAGCACAGCATAGGAAGGCTACCTGCCTAAAGCGTTGGATGCCTTTGCAGAGAACTCTCTAAGGAAAAGTAGCTTGTATTCACATTACACATGGAGAAAATTATAAAAAATCAGCCATGCAGGCAGCTCATTCACCTGGGATTGAACCCAAATTCTCAGCATTCAGCAATCTTAATATGACTCGTCCACTGGCGGGAACGACTACTTGAAAATTGGAAAAAAAATGCAGTAATAATTATTCATTATTCTGAATTGCATAATGCAATACATAAAATTATTATGAAAATTACATTAAAATGTCAAAACAAATCAGATGGGAGGGAAAAAAAAAAGCTTACTTCATTGAAAGGTTTGAGTTTTCTATGTTCAATAAGTAAGACATTACAGAATAAATCCAGTAAAGCATCTGAAAAAAGATTATAGAATTATAAATAAAAGCATTACAATATCATTATTTATTTAGTCTATGACTTGTTATATTTAAATATATTCCACCATTTCATTAAACTTATTTTTTGATAAAAACATATTTATATTTAAAATTAATGCTTGATAATTGTAAGAACTTAATAAGTAAACTAGAACAACTCACCTAACGCCATTAAGCATTCTCTTTTACCCTTAGTATTAACCATAGCTATTAACGATTCAATACTCTTCACATTATACACAGCACAATCTTGAATAAGCAATGTATGTGCTGACACTTTATCAGATAAAGTGCCAGTCTGAAGTATCTTTTTTATCCAAACAAAATCTTTATCCCTTTTGTTTTCCTTTACTGAAGTAGAAAAATATACAAAATTTAATTTGAAACTTCAAATGAATGAATTAACTTGAATCAACATATTTACAGAAACTAAAAGGTAAAATAAAACAGACATATAGAAATAAAATTTAAATACTGTCATGCAGTTTAAGGAAAGAAAGCATGCAGTTAAATAATAATATGAAGACATCCTCACATCCTTTCAATACAGCATTAGCTATAACGATTACATGAAAATAGATTACAGACATAATATTCTAAGTACAACATTTCATCAAACCATGAATTAAAATATTTGTCAGAGTAAATTAGGAAACACATTATGAGGTATTTTTTCTTTCCTTTTCAAATACCTTCAAGGTATTTGAAAGTATATTTATTCAAGGTCAAGTAGAAATCACTGGAATTATTATTTTAGTATTGCATTAATTTTCCTTAGTTTAAGTATGGCTTTCTGTCCAGGAACTGCACTGCCTGGAAAGTGCAGTCCTTGGGAAGAGGTAATGTTACAAATTTTGTATATATGTAAATAATTTAAGTGAAATTATATGTAAAATTGTAGTAAAGTAATCGTAGTTAGAGGTTGCACAAAGGAGTACGACATTCAGGGGGGAAAATGTATGTATGAATTATATGCAAGTGCAATTTTGTAATTTTTTTTCATAATGTTTTAATTATTTCTATAGATATTTTCTGTTTGATGGCAATTTTTTTTTTTTTTTTTTTTTCCAGATCACACATGTGCTCAATGATTTTCTTTCATGGCAGCGATTAGAGCATTAAAACTGCATTAGACTTACATTTGATTCTCCATATTTTCCTCTTTTAAAAGTATATAACAAATTTTACACATATCATTAATTTCTTCTTTTAATATGTTATATAAGTAAATAATAGTAATAATATTAATAAAATAACACAAGAAAATCTAAAAAAGATTCAGATTTAACATCATATCAGAAAATTTGTTAAGGTTTTTTGCTCTGTAACACACACTTGTTAACCTTCTAAAACCTGGTCAAAATTCTCATAATATAGCCTTCAGACCGGCACGATCCAAAACACTTTTGTCCCCTCTTTGACATTTTCCTAATGAGAAAAGTCGTTAGTCCTCTCCATGGATGCAGTAAAATTTACATGTTTGTCGGACGCTGTTCCATAGTAGATGGGTTGCTAGATTTGCGATCTTTACAATGATTATTTTGCTTTCATTTAAATGAACTTCTAAATAAATAGTGCATCGATATAGGATATGCATCGAGTGCACTATTTATTTAGAACTAAATGTATGCAATGTTTATATTTCATTTACTATTTCTGATCAATCTCGGCAATAACTTGTGAATTTTATAACTTTCTTTTAACACTTTTTTTTTTATTCGTATATTTTTGTAATAGAAATTAGAAAACGAAAACAAAATTTTACAAAATATAATAAATACGAACTAGCTTTGTAAGTCTGCAGGTTGGAATGTGATTTTTAATAACATATTTTCATTAACAAAATAATGGTAATGACTAATATAATGAAATAATAATAATAAATTGATTAATAATGTTTATTACTATTAGATGATTAGAATGAATTTCAATACAATTAGATTTTGAGATGAACTTACAGCAATAATAAAGCTTTACATAACAATAACAGAGCTTTAAATATGCTTTTTTAGATAATTCTGTTATTATAATATAAAAAAGAAAATCAGAGATACATTGGTTGTGTTTTATCATTTAACTTTAACAAATATTACACTGGACTATCAGGCAAAGGTGGTGTGGTGTATTTAATTACGGCAAAGCACACTAGGGCTATCTGCCTAAGGGGAGGGATGCCTTCGTGGAGGACTTTCTAAGCGAAACTGGCTCGTATACACGTTACACATGGGGAAAACCATGAAAACGTCCATGCAGCCAGCCCGTTCGCGGGATTCGAACCTCGGACCGAACTACCAGTGTTCAGCGACTTTACCGCTCGGCCGCTGGTGGGCCCCCTATCAGGCAAAGGAGGTATATCTTTAACGAGAATTTTTCTTTGCAAAATTGGCTTTTGTTTATGTTAGCAGAGGGGGGGGGAAAAAATCTGTGACCTATACATGCAATCATTAAAAAAATTTTTTAGAACAGTTTTAAATGTTTATGAAGAATTATACATCAATTTCCCTTCATAGCAGAAATTTCGTCTAAAACCATCGTTATATCCAAAAGTTGAAGTCTATTTCATTTTCAAGGAATATTCTATTTGCACATAATATATTTCTAATTTATTTTAGAAAGAGTAATCTTTCACGTTTTCAAAAGAATAAGGAAATATTGGGTGTTGATACCATGTAGTAAATTTGTTTTTTATATTTCTTCCAGTAATGAAAACGATTACCCTGCAATATTTTCAAAGCAAAATTAAAAACCGTTTACGCCAAATTTTGCATAAAGTATCTTCTCGTGTATTTTTTATTTAAAGTGTGGAATTTTCTCTTTGAAAATATCAAAAATCATGAAGAGCAAAATTAATTCATGAGAAATAACTTTGAAATGCAATAATTCCATTGTAATATGACATAGTGGATAAAAGTGCAATACAGTTTATTTATTCACAAATAATCCCCCTCATATGCGTAATTTATGTACTGTCGATTGAGAAATATAGGTTAGTAAATTAAACCGGTTAATTCAATACTTTTCCTTTATCAATATTTTTACCTGCTCTCTTCAGTAAAGCGGTGGTAGGTAAAGGTGGCTGAACACTTATAGCTCGCTTGGATTTGAATCCCGGATAATAGGGTTGGATTCATGGTTTTTGTGTAACGTAAATGCAAGCCAGCTTCTCTTAGAAAGTCCTCCGCGAAGACATAACTCCCCTTATACAGGTAATCGTTGGGTGCTTTGATGTAATTCAGTAAGCGAACAAAAATTAATCCAATCAATACCGAAGAACGGGTTGATTACATGTGGAGTTTTCCACCAGGAATGTAAATGCGAGCAATTTTCTCTTAAAAAGGTTTACACGAAAGCATCCATTCCCCTTAAGCAGATAGCGTTCGCGTGCTTTTCCGTAATCCAATCCTAATTTTCATACATTTAGTAGTAAGTTGACATACACCTTATTACAGACAAAATATCATTTCTTTTTTAAAGATAAAATTTTTATAACTTATTATGCAAATTTAACTGATGTTTTGATTCAGTTTAGAAGTTACGTGAGCTTTACTGATATTTAAATATTTTTTGGCAGATCTCATCCTAAAAGAGGGTGTAAAGAAATTGGTTTTTATTTAATTTACATCAATGAAAAATGAAAATCATGAAAATCAGAAAAACTATTATGCATACAATTGTCTCTTATTTATCTCCTGATAAATCAGACAAAATTGCCTACATAATAAAAGCACTTTGAAAGAGTTAACAGTTTTTAAGGATTTTACACACTCAAAAAAAAAAAGGGAGGTCAAAATAACATCTTATTATTCATAAGTATAAAAAGGAAGTAAACGATAAAAGCGGTTTTAGCTATTTTCTAGAAGGGCATTAAATCTAAAATATTACTCTAATCTCATTTGCTATGAACAAAAAGAATTAAATCTGGTAAGCTTAAACAGTGTGCAAAATCGCTGACATTTTAAATCACAGAAAAAGTTAGTACTAAAAATGTTAGCACTAAAATTATGAGACAGTGCTCTAACGTTTGAGAAAGAGATGGCTTCTATTTGATTTTCAAGTATATTGGCACGAGATGAAACCTGTGGTTTTTGCCAAAATTTAGCCAGACTGATAAGAGGGAAACAATGCATAGCCAGCAGCTATTCTGAGCAGCGACAGTGGACCACCCAGAGATCTACAGATAAAACATTCTCTAAAATAGGGAGAAGATAGTTGGTATGACAGTTGTACCAGAGCCGGCATTAAAGAGCCGGCATTTTTCCGCTACAACTGCTGTACCACTAGCTTTAGAAAGTTGCCCCCTCTTTTTGTCTTTAAAGCTTTGTTATTAAGCTTTTTTCACACTTACACAACATAAAATTAAAAATAATAATAAAAAAAAAATTTAAAAAAATTAAAAACAGCATATCTTTAGAATTCCCCCAAGAGTGTTAAGAGTTGCCCTACACATTTTTACATTCGCTATTGTTACATTTTCTGTATTTATTTAGCTATTTTTAGTAGAATTTGTAATTAAAATTGTTTTATATCCCCGAGCAACACAGCACAAGACTTATTTGAAGAGAAACATTAACATTTTGATAAATAGATATCTCATTACAGACTTACAGTACTCTTTTGCTATACAGAAAAATCGAGAAAATACCAGATTGTTCTCATGCATAATTAAAAAGCTTATAAAAGCTGGAGGAAAATATCTCAATTCAATTGTTAACTTATTGTTCATTGTAGCCATTTTGTGAAGAGATTGGTGTTTAGTACTTTTATTGTTACCAAACGTTTATTATTTTTATTGTACTTATTGTTACCAAGTGAATTTCTAGTGTGTCTGTGGATTTGATGAATAACATAACATAACATTTAACGGCACTTCCTTCTTATGAAAAGAAGGAAAAGAGTTTAGGCAATATTGCCCATTACTCTTCCACCATTTGATCATTTAAATCAAGGGATTTAAATGGTAACTCCTGTAAAAGGTAAGTAATAAATAAATAGATAAGATGCCAAACTGACACCAAATCTATAGTATCAGCAAAAGATCCCATCTCTAAGTTCAGGCTGTCGGTTGGATCATGAAAACTTCCCTATTGGATGAAGAGCCGATTCAATCCCTCCCAAACCACCAAACGCAAATTCTTAACCAAACAAAAGTGCGATTGGCAAGTCTGAAAAAATAATTAAATAAAAAAAACAGAGGTACTTTTTTAAATAAGGAGGGCAAGGTTGCTTCTCAAGCCAAATGGCCAGGTGGTGTATAAAGATTTGATATATATTTCGAAATTATATTCCAAAACACAGCTATGAGAGGAGAAATCCCTGCATAGTTTCTTTCAAAAAAAAAAAAAAAAAAAAAA